ACACACACACACACACACACACACACACACACACACACACACACACACACACACACACACACACACACACAGAGAGAGAGAGAGCAGTCTTGAGTGTGCTGACTCTTGTCCCTTGCCCGATTTTTCATTATTTTAAATATTTTTGCATATGTTTTTGTTTTTTTTGGCATTTTTTGCCCGAAAAAGGAAAAGGGGGATACCCAAGAGATGATTATTGTGCTCAAAACGGATCGGAGTTTGAATTCGTCATTGAAATATTGATTGGTTTACAGCACTGTTAGACTAACAGTCTTGTTTATACTTTTTTTAGCTTCTTTGTCTTAGAACAAAAGTTTGAAAAACAGCCCTTCCTTGTCTGTTTCGTGCCTTGTTTTTTGACAGGCGTTCTGTGTCTTCCTTCTGCCTTGTTTTTGTTCTTTGCTTCTGGGTGCGGGGAAAACAAACTCTTTCCACCATTCGCAACTTCGTGAAGTTAAGGAAGCACAAGCGGAGGTGCATAAAGAGTAAATCTCATAGGTAAGCATCTTGTAAGGCAATGAGCATTACACGAGAGCCCACCGAATGCATGCTTTGTCTGCATTACACACTGTACCCATTTAGTATAAGTCACGATGATGTTACATGCCTGATGAATGCTTCAAATTTGAGCCTGACAGTGCATGATGATCAACGACATGATGGTGTATTGGACGGAAGAATTGAGAACAGGATTCGGGACTTCAGAATTGGACAAAAAAAAGTGCAAGGTGTTGGTCACTTTGAAGTTGGAGATTGAAAGGGAATCGAAAAGGACTTTGGAAAGTCAACCAGTCAATAAAATACTCATACTTTCCATCTATTCCTCCTACCTTTTTACCACAAATAGAATGTGCCCAGGACGGTCAATTTTGCTGCTTCTGGACTGAGAGGTGAGCCAAATACGTGCGGGTAGTCTAACTGCTTTCCCTGTTATAAAAACACAAGCTGGAGATGTATCTGCTAAGCTTCTGCTTACATTGAAGATGACCAGTAGACTCTGGCTATCGTCTTCTCCCAAATAGAACGTACAAGGGCCATGCTAATGTTATGTGCCTGATTGAAAACAAAATCCAGCATGCCATTCACATGTTCCCATACACATGCGGGAAGCAAGTAGACTTGGAGAGAGAAATTCGCACCAAACCAGGTGATGATATTACTCACCGGAAGCACTCAAAACCATTAATAGAGTTGAATTTAATTCAATTCTTATTATCCCGTCTCTCTCTCCAGTTCAGTCAACAACACGAATTCCAAGAATCCCAACCATGTTATCACCACGGACCAATTATATACAAAGTTTCATCGAAATATCCAGGAGTCTTCCTCTTCCTCCCTCTTCCTCAAGCTCTAGCCATGGTGCCACTTCCACTTCCAGCGCCCAACCAGACAAGCCTGCAAACGCCACGCACCCTCCTGAATCCAACACGTCACTCTGCACCACTCACGAAGCCCGTCTGCATATTATGTGTCCACTCAGCAGGGGAGCGCAGCTCCCAGAATGAACAAGAAGAACAACTTGATGAAGATGAAGGCCTTCCACTTCGAAGAAGACGTGCAAAAGCTGCTTCGATGGCAGCTGCCTTAACCCCAACACACACACCAGTAGGAGGAAGCGCCCATCAGCGCCTATGGCCCACAGCCCGACGCTGTCACTGGAGCTGGCCGGTCCCAGCTCTGGCCGCCAGCAACATGAAGAAGATGAGCCACTACACTGCTGAAGATAGCGCAGCTCTCAAGACGCAACCTCACTGGATACACTGCTGAAGATAGCGCAGCTCTCAAGACGCAACCTCACCGGACCAACGTGAAAAGAGAAAAGTGAAAAGAACCAAAAGAACCCATTCCCTTTTGCCCCCGACAATTTTGTAGACTTCGGTTTTGACTGACAGGGGACAGACAGCCTACCATGTGCAGAAAAAGACAAAACAGAAAGGCCTAGTGGTCTAAGACTAGGCTACAGAGACTATTGCAGTCAGGTCTAGGGATCAAGCCCAGTACGGCTCACACAACGAAACACAACCACAACCCTACAGGTCGCAGGATCGAGTCCTGAAGAGCTCAAGAACATACAACAGCAAATAAATCCAAAAAGAAACAAACTGCCAAAAGGCCTGGGATCTAGTCCCACAACAGACAAGATAGCGAAACACTCACCAAACTGGCAGATCCACGGATCAAACCCTTCCATGCTCACAACTACAAAACCCACAAGACATACGACTTAGTATACAGCCCTGCTGGGAAACTGCAATTTATAGCACTAATCTTCTCTGTATCATCTGCCAGCTCTTTCTAATAAATGAGAATGTAGATAAAACACAATCCTGGGAAAACTTCTCGACCTGGTGGTCGACGTAACAATAACGACATTGTCGATATGTCACTGATTGTTTTCTTAGATGATCATTATAAATAGAGTGTGCATCCCACTGTCTCTGAAAATTTCTCCCACAAAACAACCTGCTAGAAATTGAAGAGGAGTAAGATGTGATGCAGTGGCTGCCACAATAATAGAATATTCTAAAGCATGGCGCAATATCGATCTCCTCGAACAGAATCACAACTTCACCATACAATGATTAATTTAGATTAAACAGTTTTGCGAAAGCAAGCCGTGATACCTGCATTCGAAGGCGTAGGTCTGATCCGACAATCTCTTCACTTGAGGGAGCATGCCAAGTTTTGATAGTTATTGCATTAATTGTTAACTTGTTATCAATAGCAGTTGCAAGTGTGATGACACAATATTTGACAATAGTGCATTAATTCTGCCTGGAGCCCTAGACAGTAATCCCTAAACCGGCAAGGAGAAACGAGGTCACTCGTGAAGGGAGGTGGTTTTGGAAGAGAACAAAATCACAACATCGGTACAGCTCCAATTCCAGTCTTCCAAAAAGAAAAGAAGACCTAACTGAGAACTTCGAAGAAGATCGTGCAATCAAGAGATTTATCCTCCGAAGCTCGTAACAGAGAGATATTAAAGGGACAAAGACACAGCCATTGATGGCACGACAGGTACTTTCGTTCAGAACTCCTCAAGTAGCCTCGTCGTCTTGTGACGTCTTTCAGATTTGCGGGACATGCAGATGGCAAGGTGCATTCTCAGAGGGGCAGCATTTGTCTGTGGACCCCTTCGCCCCCTACTTCCTCCTCGTCCCCCCCATACACACAAACACACATCTCTGCAACCTTTCCAACTCATAATTATGCTCACTCATGTCTGATCTCTCCGTTGCTCTTTCCATAGCTTATCCCATAGGTACATGCAATGCATGCATAGTCCAATGCACAACAAGAGTGTGTCAGGAGGGTTTGGACTTGGAAAGAAGAAAGGCAAATCCCCTGGATGTGGCCATGGAAGCTATAACATTCTGCAATGAACCCAAGTGTCAATGCTTACCTTTCCAACTCTTTTTCTGCACATCAACTCAACGAAGGGCAACCAGAGGACAACAAGCTGATGAGAGGGGAAGAAGAAGACAAAGAAGAAGAGAATGATAATTATTTCATTGATAATCAATCATTACAACATCAATTATCCTCCCTTCACTCTACTCTACTCTACGACACTCTGCTCTACTATACTCTACTCTACGACACTTTATGACACTCTACTCTACGACACTCTACTCTACTCCACTCTACTCTACTCTACTCTACCCACTCTACACTACTCTAGTCTACTCGACTACACTATACTCTAAGACTCTCTACAACATTCTACTCTACTTGACGACACTACTCTACTCTACTCTACTCTACTCTACTCTACTCTACGACACTCTACGACACTCTACGACACTCTACGACACTCTACGACACTCTACTCCACGACACTCTTTTTT